ATAACGTGTGTCCACCTAAGAGTTTTCAGCCAGGTGAAAAAATGTCAGACGCTCTTCTTAAAATGACCAGCTGGTGGCGCTTAAACGCTTTGGTGTTTTTTTTCCAGCTGATACGCTTTAGTTGCTATGATTTTGAATATCCACGGCGGCAACGTATTGGCCTACTAGTATCTCATTTTTAAAAATTTTACTAAATATAAAAAAGCAGTAGGCTAACCAGTAATATTGACTTCTCCATTGTTGTAGGCAGACGTTGTACAAGTAGGATGGATGGTCGCTATTTGTCCCACCCATCCTCTATTTGCGGCTGGGTAAATAACAAGCGGCAACCTCCCGCTCTCTCTCGTGAAACCAACACGGAAGTGACTAAAACTGCAATTCATCGACTGGCCGCTAGAGGCTGGCTCCAAAAGGGAGTCAGTCCCATAGACTCCCCATGTTAAAATGGCCAAATTTACAGCAGAAAAAAATGTGTTTACAGCCTGGTACAAAAAGTGGTTTTGGTCTATATAGGTAATTTTGCCCTTCATGACAACTGTGAGGGGGTGAATTTTTATAACTTATCCTTTTAAATTATATTAAGCCTTAAAGTTCTGCATAATTAAGGGCGTGGCCACTTGAGTGACAGGTGGATTGCCGCTGCTGTCACCACCGTCGAGCTAGGTGGGCATGGTTTCAGCAACCAGCTCCCGCCTCTTTGCCAATTTTCAATTATCCGGGAGTGACGCGCTGCCAAGATGGTGCCGGCCGGCTCCGCCTACTTCAGGCTTCAGAAACGTTTTTCGGAAACCTACGGGTGACGTCACGGACACTACGTCCATGTTTTTATACAGTCTATGGTAAATAGTGACAGTGACGAACGCTGCGTTTTACAGTTATCAACTCAGCTGCAAAATAAATAAAGGAAAAAACGAGTAATAATATTACCCAAATTTGATTAGTAATGCGTTATATTACTGCGTTACAGCAAAAAGTAATATACTACTGTAATATTATTACTTTTGTAATGCGTTACTCCCAACACTGTTCATGAATGAGGCCCATTATTTAGACAGATCTGCATCACAGGCTCCTTCACTTCGCGCTGTCTGCATATTGAGTGTAACCTGTGGAAACACCTCCTCGGCCATGTTTATGTCTGTGAGTTTTGTGTTTTTGGGTTATAAGATGTAGTTGTAGCTTTGGACTTGGCTCTTCTTTGCAGGCATGAACCTTAGCTTGGCATATACACCTATTTCTATCTAAAAAAAAACATGATAGGGCTGATCATGAAGTTGATACAGACTTTGTATGGCTTGTAAGAAATACCACAGCTGTTGTATTTTGCATACTTCATGCATAGACTCTTACTTGTCTTGCAACTCATGTCAGGACAGGCCTCTTTCTACTCTAAATAACTTTTTGTGCAATGGGAAGTTTGCATTGAAGTTATAGGTTCTTCATGGTCCCATAGATGGCATTAAAGAACCTTTATTTTTAAGAGTGCTGTATTGTGTTTCCGGCAGTGTTCACAGTGGACTGTTTTGTCAAATAACCTTAGTCTTGATTGTTGTACAAGAGGATTTGCAAAGCTACATGTGAAGGATCTTCTTCAAAATGGTAAAAGGTGTTCATGACTTGGGTGTTGGGAATGTCCCAGGTTTGGTGCACTCCATATGTGTGGCTCTCTTGGATAGTCAATATGTGAATTTATGAGAGGAGGCTAACTTTTGATCATGTATTAAAGTCATCTCATTAAAAAAATAAATTTTTCTCTACTTTATTTTTTAGAAATATAAGAATTTGACATGTAAAATACTGTAATGTTCACTGCCCAAACCCCCCAAAAAGACTATTTATTGATATTAAAATGCAAAAACGTCATCTGTTCATTTCTTAATGAGCCATTTTAGTAATGCCTTTCATGTTTATAGGAACTTGCTTGATGTTTAATTTGGGCAGTTAGTTGTAGAAAGCCAGCTGTTCTTGTTGCAGAGGCAGACAGAATTACAACTAGTGGCCTTAATCTCTACTTTGGATCAGTTTCACTGCAGCAAAAAAAAAAAAAAAAAAAAAGGTATTAGCTTCAGTAATGTCTCAGTTTAGCCTTAAATCACCACTTGACAGACCTTCAGCAATTGTCCTGTCCAATAAGGAAACATTGTTCACCCACAAATAAATTCATCAATCTCACCCTCATATCTCCCCAAGTGAAAATGAGTATATGATGGCAATTTAAATTTGGGTAAACTACTCCTTTAACTGATAGTATTCAACATAGTATTCAACCTGGTATATAGTCAGAGCATTGAATTGAAAATATTTGATTCAATTCAATTTGATACTAATCCATTGAGAAAATCCTCTTGCTCCATGTGGGGGTATGTTGGTGTAATCTCCTTTTTGGTTAATCTCATACTGGCGTGCTAGTGGATTTGAGTACAAAAATGATTTTCCTGATATATGTAGAATATTAAATTTTTAGGAACAATTACAACTGGGGTCTGAATGTCCAGTTGATGCAGTTTAATTTGATAAATTAAACTGCATCAACTGGACTTTACCTTGGATGATTATCAGGTTGTCACATTGCTTGTGATTGAAATGAACTGCTATGACCTTGCAATATTTTACAGGGTGAAAACATTTCTGGGGTCTCTCTCGCTCTCTCTCACACGCACACACACTCAAAAAGGAAAGGAACAATATTTTGCATTATGAAAATGAATCTTGGTTTTAGGACCATAACTCTCTATTGCATTGAATTGCAACATTATTTTTTTGATGGAAGTTAAGCACAAAAATACTACCAAGATGTATAAATATACTTTTATAAAAAAAAAATTTTTATAAAAATTATTTTAAAAAAATTCTATAAGAAAATGGTATTCTTTTCCTTAATGCAAAACATAAAAATCTTTTAGAAATATTTTTTACATTTTGCCCACTTTGTCATTTGCCATATTTTCTTTATACTCTCAAACGGTTCATGCACAAGACAAGACATCTTTTTTTTTTTTTCTCCCCTAAACCCTATCTGGGTCATAAAATATACCATATATTCCTTCACTCTACTTCCTTTTTCTTCTTCTCTTATATCCCAGTCTGTCTGTTTCTCATTTTCCCTCTGAAGCCTTTACACCTTCAGACTCTTCTTTTTCTCCTTCATGTCTTCTCACGCCTTTTTCTTTTTATTCATACATATTCTTGATTCTCCTCTTTTAAACACACACACACACGCACACAGTCTCTGTCTCTCTGGAGAACAGAGGCCTCTGTGTGAGTTGACAGGAGGGGGGGTTCAAGGGTTTGGGACAAATTGCTGGCCATTCCAGGGTCCATATCTTTGTGAATAATCCACCGCTTTTCTTGGCCCCTGAGGACCATTGTGTCTTCTCTGAAGCTCAGGTGTGAGGGACGGGCATTCATACATGCCTGTCAAAGCCCTTATTATTGGCCACAGACTGCTGGGATGGTACAACTTTCAGGTAGCTGCCAAATCAGACTTGGAGGAGAGTCAAAAACTCATTCTCCTGTTTACCATTTTGAGGATGAGTTTACAGGGAGAAGATATTTGGTCTGGGTTTTCTCAGACTAAAATTCTGTTTGCTGGTCTGCCCCAGTGTGGGAACCAAAAGACTGAATGTTTGTGCGAGTATGTTTGGGTTGTGTGTGGTGGAATGTTGTGTTTGTGAGGCTGAGGGTGTGTGGCGTGGGGCCAGCCCACCCTGTGAACAGCAGCTCTTTGTGGACACAGGAAGTGTGTTGGGGGTTGGGGGAGAGGAGGGAGACGTCAGGGTGATCTTCTGTCAGAGGCTGAAGACAGGAGAAAGAAGCCAACTAAACAGTAGCACGTTATCTAAGAGCCGCTTAAAGAAACTTAACATAGGCTCTGTTCCAACACCTAGTGGGCGGTCTTGCTGTTTGCTGCCTACATAGACAGCATCCTAAGTGGAGTGGAATCTGGAAATGTAATGCTGTGCATGGTCAGCTACTTCTAAACTCATTTTTGATTACAGATCATTTTTATTCTATTTTATCACTACTTTTAGGTGTTTAATGATTTTGATTCAATAAAACTGATATTTTCACATTGTTAATTCAACAATTTTGAGCTTTTATTCAGCAAGGATGCTTTAAATTTATTCAAAGTGACAGTCAAGGCATTTGTAATGTTACAAAAAATTATTTTAAATAAATGCTGTTCTTTTGAACTTTCTTTTTTATCTAAGAATCCTGGAAAATTGTATCATAGATTCCACAAAAATATTATAACGGTTTTCATCATTGATAATAATAATTGTTACTTATTAGAATGATTTCTGAAGGATCATATGACACTGAAAACTGGAGTAATGGCTGCTGAAAATTTGTGCAATCACAGGAATAAATTACATTTTAAAATATATTTTAAATAGAAAACGTTTATTTTAAATGGTAATATTTCATAACATAATTTTTTACTCTATTTTTGGTCAAATAAATATAGCCTTTGTGAGCAAAAGTGACTTCTTTAAAAAACATTTAAAAGTCTTACTGACTTCAAACTTTTGAGCTATAGTGTACATGCTGTGTTTAGAACAAAATATGGTATAATCAGTGATGAACCATTAGGCTCAGATGGGCTTCTTGTGTATGATATATGATGTATATTGCAAATTAAAATGGGTTTATCAAGATTGTCATCAATCTGATTGGTTGTCTTTACACAATTTTCAGGAGTGCAAAAAAAGTTATCCAATTTCAAATATCCAGTTTCATGTTTACCCACCCTAAAATCACATGGCGTTCATGGTGATTGGTCGCTTTACATGTCAATCAGATGACCACTTGGTGTCTAAATGGGCAGTTCTTGGCCAAAAGAAGCTATGAAAAACAATGCACATAATCAAAAGTCTGGATTTGTGAGACAACCTGTAGCTTCATAATATTTTCATTATGTTTTAATTATATTAGCTTAGCTTATATGGTGGTTTCCCCTGAGTGTATTGTAAGCTTTAGTTGTGCTGTGTTCCACACAGGCAGTCGGCCTACAGTACAGTATCTGTCCTCGCTGTGCGAGCTGCCCCATGCCCTGCAGTCCTACTACACCCAGGGCTACGTTCTGGCCGCCCTGCATCCCATCATCCTCTCAGTGGGCCGGACCCGCTTCCTGCCCTGCAGCCTGCTCTACCGGGCCATTCTGGTCCGCCCACGATCCATGTAAGTTTCACCATGACAAGGACTCCGTACCTCACCTTTGCAGCCCCTATTCTGTACCCCAAACCCCCTGACCAGCTCCTTCCAATAAATAATGAGCTTTTAATGAGTCCGTATGAATATTTAATGAGATTATAGTGGGAGGTCAGACAGACTAGCTGGAGTGGGCGGGGCTTGTGTGAAGTCATATTGGGGTACTGATGTGGGTACATGTGGGTTGTTCTTTTAAATTGAAAAGAAGCCCCTGACAACAGTGTAGTTTTTCAGCAACCAATGAGAACCTGCAAAGAAGCAGTGGAGGAACAGGACAGGCTCGTTTCAACTATGACACTGTAAATTATTCAAAAGTAAGGTCTGGGACAGTTGTAGTATGTTAATAGTGTTGTAGTGTGAAAAACTTTAAGATGTGTAATGCCAAGTCCTGTGAATACTATTTGATTGATGTCTGAATCCAGTGAGCATAAGCTTGAATGCACTTTTAAGCAGAGACAATGGAAACCTGCAAAAAGCTGCTTTCTCAGGCATATCCACATTTATTGTTTGCTTGACTTCCTGTCTATTAAGATGCCTCCATCTGTTAATGTCTTGAAGGAAAGCAGCATAGAAGTATCTTTACGTCTTGTGATATCCAGCTCTACTATTCTGTGGTTGCTTGAAAGAATAAAATACTGTCTCTAATGGACTAGAAATAGACTTGACCAATGTTAATTTAAAGGCCAGTTTAATTAATTTCTGCCAAAAAATAAGCTTTGTAGTCATTAAATCTTTGCTTACATCTGAAGCTCGCTTGAATGAGATGTAAATCATGAAATGTGCTGTTTGAAACCAGTTTTCTTTGATGCTGGTTTCTTATTAAACCATTGACAGATGTGATCAGTTGGGGGTCATAAGGGTTAAACATCTTAGCATTTTTGTACTTTGCTAATGGATGACATGTCAAGAATAGCAGATGTCAGCTACAATAAAATATGCATAATGTTTTCATGCAGCGAGTTTAAAATGCATTTCCTTAATTGATGTGTGTTTGTTTGTGTTGTGTGGTTGCAGTAAACATGCAGTGCCAGTGATTGACAGCTTGCCAGTGTTGCGAGTGGAGGAGTGGCCACTACCCGGAGAATCTCTGACCAGTGACACAGTGAGACTGCTCATAGACAGGGTCTGTGTTTTCATTTCAAATGCTTTTGTCTGTTGTCCATGTACATTTTTTTTCATGTCATTTACAGTGTGCAACAAATTTTATTTTTTTGGCAGACCAGTTGGGTTATTAGTTCAGGTTTTTACTAGCTTTGCCAAAATCTTCACTGGCCTCACCACAAAAAGGAACTATGTATATTTATTTTTAAGAGCCATGGATTTTTATATTTACTGGAAATTATATTTACATATTTCATTAAATGTTTAAGTTTGTAAAGTTGCTTTAAAAGAAAATTGGGTAACACTTTACAATAAGATTAAATTAGTTAATGTTAACAATGAGCAATTCTTTGTTGCAGTTTTACATTAAAATACTTTTTTTGTGTGGGGGGCTACTGCATGTCATATTCTTTATGTAGATTACACATGCAATAATATCAATAACATGCATTTAGAAAGTAGATGGGGTGAATTTTCATTACTGACTATAGCGATCAGAGGACTTTCTTTTCAAAAATGTATCTGCATAAATTTCTGTTCCTTATAATGGAATGTTTAGATAAACAGTCTCATATCATAACTGTGTGTCTTTTGTGTGTGTGTGTCCTCAGGTGAACAGCTATGCCAGGGGTGGCGTGAGGTTCGTGGGGTCAGTGCTCCAGCAGGCTGGAGGAGTGGGGTGTAACGGTAGAGTACCCAGTCCCAGGAGGGGCTGCCGTTCCCCGTCCCGCACACCGCCCGGAGACGCAGATCTAGAGGGCCGTGGCTACAGCCCAGGTGAGATGTTCCTCTAATCTCATTATGGACCATCTGTAGTCTAACTTACTGTTTTTATAGATTTAAATCCAATACACAGATGGACTATAAATGCTTTGAATCATGAACGATTGGGTTAAACTCACAAAGAACATGTCATATTTCACCCCAGAAGCAAACAGGAAAATTGTATTTGGATTTTTTTTTTACTTTACCATGTTGACAAAGAGATCGTTAAAATAAGAACTAGACTGTATAATTTTTAATAACCTTACTATTTGCTTTTATTTTTTTATTTCTTCCTCTTCAGTTTGGTGTCAGTTTAATTTGGTTTAACCCTGTAATATCTTTGTCCTCTGTGGAGCCTTGGCGTCTCCTTACCCTCTGGGCATCATACCAACCTCTCGATTCTCCATGGCAAGCATTTCGGGGCCACATGTGATATTAAGATCAGTCAGAGGCTGTTAGTGTCTAGGTAGTGTTAGTGTAGGCTGTTTATCTGCCCTGTTACACTTATTAGTTATGGTAGATGGACTGATAGTTTGACGTATTAAAAATGGTGTCTAAAGCAATGATCATTGCATGGCTTAAAGGGTTAGTTCACCCAAAAATTAAAATTACCTTGTGTTTTACTCACCCTCGAGGCATACTAGGTGTATATTACTTTCTTCTTTCAGACGAATCCAAAATTATATTAAAGGGGTGGTTCAGTGGTTTTTTTCTAGGCTTGATTGTGTTTATGGGGTGCAGTCTAACATGTTATTGCTTCGTTTTTAAAAAAACGCATAATTTTTCACATAATTTACCTTTATTCCACACCGCTCTGTCCCTTCTCTGAGAAACATGCTGATCATTTCCTGCTTTTATGAAGCCCCTCCCTCAGAAATAGGCGATGGGCTCTGATTGGTTAGCTAGCCCAGTGTGTTGTGATTGGCTAAACCGCCTCTAGTGCGCGTCTAAACGTCCCTCACCTCAGCGGCATGTGCTCCGGTTGCATTGTAAACAGCGGCGTCGTTAATATCGCTTATCCGTTTGAGCCCGATTGAGAAGCAAAGGATATTATTGAAGAGGATC